CCTGGTGTTGCCTATCCTCGAAGCTTTCTCCATCTCTTTGGCTTTTGTCGCCCACCACTGTTCACGGTCCTTGCGGAGACTTTTCGTAAGTTTCCTTTTGTGCAGCTTTCGCTCCTCATTGAATTCGGAGCTCGCCGGAATAAGTCTTCTAGCATCTATCAGTTCGGATGAGGCGGTGGAGATCCAGTGGTTTTTACTCACCTTTGGGTTTACCTTATTCACAGCTTTTACAGCTGTATCTATGGCTGCCTGGATATTTTTCCAAGCTTCTTCAGGGTGAGCACAGCTGTCGAACACAGATATGTGTTTAGCTAGTTCTTCCTCAAATACGGATTTAGTTTCCTGATCGAGCTGGGGACGTGATGGTTTTACCGCCAGCTGTTTCCTACGTCCGTTCAGTCGTAAGCACACCCGAGCGCGGACCAGTGCATGGTCGGTATCTACACACGTGTTCCAGAAGGAGCGACAATCTCCTACCGACCCACGCCAACGATAGCTTATTGCTATGTGGTCTATTTGTGTCCAGCGTTGGTTTGATGAAGGGGGTCTCCAAGTCAAACAGTGTCTCTCCTTGTGTTTGAAGTTAGTGCTTACAAGAAACAAATGATTATCAGAGCAGAACTGTAGGAGACGGTCACCGTTGTCGGTTCGCTGGCACGGAACTCCATAGGTGCCACCGACATCCTTCTCAGATTGACACAATTTCCCTACTTGAGCGTTAAAGTCACCAGCTAGAACGACTATGTCTGAGCGTTTAGCCTTTCGCACCAAACTAGACAGCTTTTGGTAGAACTCATCCTTCGTTTCATCTGAACTGCAGTCAGTGGGGGCGTAGGCGGAGATTACGAAAAGGCATCGGCGAGTAGTGCAGTCCTTTCTCCTTTTTACTGATCCGTTCAGACGGACAGCACACATTCGGCTATCTACCGGGATCCAGTCAAGCAATGTCTTTTCTGCCCTAGTACTCAAAGCTATCCCTACGCCAGCTAATCCTCGTGAACTAGCTGTGGCATCTCCTGACACCCTCAAGGTGAATTTTGCAGATTCAACCTGTTGGCCAGGTGGGGTTAGGTGAATAACCACACTTGGGTCTTGTATGCGTGTTTCTGAAACACAGCATACATCAATGGCTCGTGATGCCAGGGTCTTGGCTAGTGATGCTTGTTGTCCTATTTGGCAAAGTGTCCTAACATTAAGAGCTCCTATATGAAATTGGTGGCGCGGCTTTAAGAGGCTGTCGGTGGTGGTTTTTTGGCTTCCATCGTTTTTAGTGGACGCAGAGTGGAGAGCTATCAAGTCGAGGAGTTGCATCAGTGGAAGGAAGGCAAGATGATAGAGATGAAGATGAAGACAAAGATGAGTGAGTAATAGAGAGGTTTCGCGTGCGTTTCGGATTGTGAGGGCGATTGTTACTTCCCGGCTGCCCACACCGTGGAAGTTGGTTGCGTGACCGCAGAGCCCAGGGGACAACTGCTTGAGGCCGGTCACACGCGGCCTGTTTTTGTTTGTTCTTTTTGTTTTGTGTGCCTCAGTAGCATATTTATCACTCCTGCCCTGTGACACGGCAGCAGGAAGCGCGGTCGTTGTTAATCCGGGCCACGGCCGATTTTGTATTTATCATGATGTTGGATTGGGTAGCTGCTTTTTGTTTAACCGCTATCCAAACAACCTGCCTGGCATGGTAGACCTCAAGAGACATAAGTCTCAGCCAGTATAGCTTGATTAGGTCATTGCGGTGTTCAAGCCTGACCACCACGTGAAGGTAGCAGCTTTCCATCAACAATAAAGTACTATTAGACTTGTCTCATAGATAAAATAGGCAACTTGAAATGTTGCCAGCCACATGCGCCGCTAGTGGCGTCTGGATAAAAAAATCTCCTGGACATGTACATTATCACTTAAAATGCAGACATCTATAAGTATAAAACTTGGGCACTGTGGTAGAGTATAACTCCATTATGGATAAGATTTTATTTTGATAAATCACACAGTGTTGTACAGTTATATTAACCCTTACCCCTACAATTCGTTAACTCTCGCATCCTGCCTATTATTCTATGTTGTTCTCCCTTAGTTTTTACAGGGCTAATGAAGAAAGACTATACCTTATTACGCAGGATGTTAAAGGTTGTCAGCAGGGTAAGCTACGTGCCACTTAACCAGCTTGTTAATATTCTGGTTGACAGGCACATGGACTCATGTGGAAAATGGGCTAAATCCATTTTATCTAACTCACACCATCCTCTTCATTCACAACTCTCCCCTTGTATCTCATCAGGCAGAACCAGAAGACTATATATGAAACTATATGCTCGCACTAGTAAGTACAAAAACTCAACCATATCCTACTCAGCTCGTGTTCTGTGTGATAAAGAAAGCATTAGGCGTGATACCTATAACTTATTAAATAGTCAGTAGAACAACTGGATCTCGTCTTTCCAACTCATATCATTTATAGGTACGTTTTCTTTCTTTCTTTTCCTTTTCTCTCTCTCCCTCTTTCTCTGTTATGTGCTCCTTTGTTTCTTTCTTCCGCGTACGCCAGCAAATATGCCACCATCTACTTTTCTAACATCTTCAAATACTCTGTTCAATTCTTGGCTTTGCTACCGACATGCCAATATGTTGTTGTCATGATGAACTGGGATTTCCTTAATCTATGTAGAATTTTATTTATTGATAATGTACTAACTGAATGCAATACTGTAGTAAAATGCTGAGAATTCCATTCTGTATCACAAGTACTGTTTTGGAATAAAGCAAATTATTATTATTATTATTATAGCACTACAATGAGAAGGTTGTAACCAGTAGAACTAATCTCACAAGTGATCATATCACACAGCCCACTGTTGTGGGTGAAAAAGGTATAAGTAAAGAGAGAGTGGGTGATGTATAGAACTACTACACCACCCTCACGACCACAGATCAGGTCTCTCATCCAAGCTACAGACAGCCGATTTTTCGGCAATAACCACTACGAGTGGACTCAGCTCGTCTACAATTAAACCTCCCTCAAGGGATGTATTACCGATAGTACATATATTCAAACAAATCTCCTTAAGGCGTTCTTTATTCGTTCATCACCTGATCAGGGCCAAGTGATGGATCAGATTTTGTGCTTCTGTCAAATCGCCAGAAACAATTTTGGAGCCATAGACTTCATTTATCTGATATCAGTGCGGCTATCCTTAACATTACAATCCTTGATCGATGTGAGGTTGACAGTTTTAGTGATATGCATCTAGCATACAGTATAATAAGCATGTATAATAAGATGTGATACAATGCCAGTATTATTCGAAGAGAATTTGTTGAGATTAGTTATTTTTACTTTCTCATATATGCATCTATGTTAACAGCGTTTTGCTTTGAACCTTCCAACTATTTTCACAAGCGAAGCAGTGGTCTTAGTTTTCTAAAGAATGACAGGTACTAGAGAGCGGTAACAGTTGCACAAGTGAATTGCCAATGGTAGATGATCGAAGGCAGCGGTAACTAAAATTTGTGTTGATTCTGAATACGAAATATATAAGCATCTAGTGGGACGAAACTTTGCAACATCCAGATACAGAGGAAAAAGTGTAGTAATAATCGATAGATGCAATTATAAAATTCTAAAAGATGCGTCGGTGGCACAATGGTTAGGACTCTCGCCGACCATACACATGGTCCGAGGTTCAATCCCCTGCCGACGCACACCTGATATCTATGGTCGGTCTGCAAAATTTGGGCTACCGATATCCATGCTGAAACTTCCACACTTGTACCAAAAATACAGTGTGGAATCAAGCTGTAATCAAAAGTGAAATAAAAAATAAATGAAAGTACCAAGTGTAAGGGTAATGTATATGTTTAGGGCTGTTGTATACTAGTTAAAATCTCTCGATATTCACACTTTCTAGTGTTTGGTTTCTCTGTTTTGTAAATCAGCCAGTATTTATCAACAGGGATATGTACATTTTATGCAGATGCTTACTGAAGGTGATTTTAGAGGTCTACCAATAGCCGGTGGTGAACTGAAGAATTCTTCTAATATATATACTTTGTTTGTTTTAATATAGAGTATGGGACACCTGTATATAGGCACTGCTTATATTAAAACGACTGTAAAACTGGCTCATAAAAGTCTCATGTGTCTAGGTCTGCAGCTGAAGATATGATCTGGTAATCCCTCCCATTTTTACACTAATAATATTTCTAAGTGTTAGTTTGTAGGCATTTGATTGGTTTCAGGATTTCATCGTGAACTGACATCAGTTAAAAACCACGTGAAAACCTAGGAAAACTGGACATTTGTTTCGTCCTAGTTTGAGACTATTCACGGCACGTTCCCATTGGGACTCGAACCCAGGACCTCCTGGTTACAAGGCGAACTCGTAAACCATTAAGCCATCGGCACCCTTATTTTGAATTGGCACAAGCTGGAATTCATGAACCATTGGATCGGATCCCAGAGTCTTAATGGTCTTCGAGCTCGCCTTGTAACCAGGAGGTCCAGGGTTCGAGTCCCAATGGGTACGTGCCGTGAAGAGTCTCAAACTATGACGAATTAACCGTCCAGTACTCTTAAGTTTTCCAGTGATAAAACCCTGTAATAATACTTTTTTTGAATATTTCTGGTCCTTTTCCCATGATCTGTATAGTATTATTTTGATATTCTCCCGTCTTCTTTTTTTCTTAATGTATATTATTTGTTCTTGTTTCGAATGAGTCTTTTTCTTGTTATTCCATTTTGCTATTTCATGATACTGGACTTTTGATAAAATGGTACTGTTTTATTACTTCCTACATTTTGTTTGGTGGAACTTAAAGTTGCACCGTGGAGTGACTGCTTATCCTTTCTCCGTCTGTTCAAAACGTCTATTGCTTGCTTTGACTCGTGCAGAGTGAATTTATTTCATTACTGATATAAGTATAAAACTTGACCGCTATGGTAGAGTATAACTCCACTATGGATAAGATTTTATTTTGATAAATCTCACATCATTGTACAGTAATATTTACTGATGACGTTTCGAGCAAAACCGATTGCTCAAAATCATATCAAGGGATTTGATATGAGTGCCCAGGAAAAGCAAAATTAAGACACAAATAAAGCCAGACAGAAGTAAAGTGAGGAGTAAAGGCCATTTGAAGTTGAAGAACAGGTGAAGTGTAGAGAAGGGAAATATGCCGTTGAGAGTGGAGCAAGAAGTGGGAAAGACCACACTTGGTCACATTACGACGACAAAGAGGTCAAGAAAAGAAGTCCAAGAGATAGTCAATTGGAACGCAACCACATGAATGATTTTATGATGCACCCATCATAAGTGTGGAATGTGCTACTTATAAGCAGATATTGGTAAGTATACTGAGTAACGTCTTTGGAGAAACGATCAATGAAGAATGGGCGCGAAATGACAAAATTGAAAAAAATCTAATAAGAAACATGCAAGGAAGATATTATTATTTGCAAACTGTGGGATCGTTGTAAGGTTTATGACTTTTCTAATGTAAATTATATTTTGTTGCCATAAACTTTGCTCCAGGCCTCACTAGTCTTGTTTACTACAGTCTGATGGCTGCACTCATAGCCAAAAGTATTAATGATTACTTAAATTTGAGTTAGGACCTGGACAGACCTATTTCAGGAACTTAGTCTCTGGAACTTGCTTGTAGAGATTTGATTTGTTTCAAGTTTGGTCACGGATTAATGTCAGCTAGAGAACCATTGAAAACCAAGAAGTACTGACAGCTGTTTCGCCCTAGTTTGAGATCACTCAGTAGCAGGCACCTTCAAAGTCTTCGAAGTTCGACAAGTCAGTGTTCTGGCAGAAGAACAGTGAGGTGGCAATCATTTAGATCTACCAAAAAGAAAAAATAGCCTCCAGTAATATGCGAGTAGCCTGCCATATTATAGTCCTAAGTAAAAGAGAAAAGCAGTCTTTTATTCTTTAAATGTACAGTAGAATGACTGAATAAGTAAGAGTATTTCTCCACACATCAGGGAAAATATATTATTATCATTATTATTTAGAGAGAAGTAAAGATAAAAGTTTGTGGATAGCAGGACATTAATTTTGGAATTCTGCCAATATGCAGTAATATCATCAAAAAAAAAAATATAACAAAGTGGACAAATAGCCGTCCAAAGAACAAAGATAACTCATGAATAGCAGAGTATTTCGTGAAGTTTTGAATGACTATTTCTTGTCGTCGTTAATAATGTGGTAAATCCAATCATTGGGATATTCGTTTCATGATCACAAACAAACTAAAAATAAGTTTTAAAAAAGGCCAAAACAAAACGAAAAGGGTAATTAGATGAACAGTTAGCTGTCAGTTGAATAACTTAACTCTCTAGTCAGCAATAACTGTGATGATTTTTATTCCTTAGGCTACTTTAGATTATCTGAATTCAGTATACTGAAACCGGTACAAATAAAAAGAAAAAAGAAATTTAGGTTGTAGCTAGGTACTAACTAATTGGTACCATCCATGTTGGAGTAGGTTGAAAAGCTCAGAGGTTACTGTTTAAACAGCAATCATCCCTTTATATAGGATCTTAATTAGAAACGTGATACACTCAACATACTTTCACTATCAACTGTATTACATTCAAAGCCAACAAGCAATTTTAAGTTAGACTTGTTTTTAAATGATTAGGAGTTTTGTTATCCATAAAAACGTTACTGAATCTTTCAGTTTTATGAACACCTCTGGTAACTGTTACTGGTTAATACTTGCTGATTTCATTGTTTAGCATATGAAGGGATAAGTATACCGATTTTTAATGTTCTAACTACAAAAGTGAACAAAAAAGCAGAGATTATAAAGTTTTCTATAAACCAAATATGTAACAATTCCTCCTTTTGACAAGCAAGAGAATTGGTTATTACCAAAATACTTTCTTTCCCAGAAAATGTTGTGTCAGTTTCCACTTCAGTGTTATTATTAGCTTTTCAGTTTATGGCTTGTAAATCTGAGATGCCTATGAAAAAAAATCTCTTTTTAAATGAAGTCTTCAATGAAAATAGCCACAGAGTAGGGAATGAGTATTTGCTTCCTTGGGATCCTTCAGCAGTTTATATATGTGTCCCAGATTGAGAAAACAATAGTTAGGTAGTCAGTCACACAGTGATTTTATTTGACAAATTAGTTTCGTGTGTCAATTAAGTAAAGACTGGTTTATTTATTGGGTAACTTAATAAACTTGGCACTTATATAAACAACAACGGTTGATTATTACCACTATTAGTATTATTTTAAACTACATGCTATACTAGCTTATTTTATAGAAAACAGAGATTTAATAAGTATTTGCAGAAGTATTTAAATCCGAAGTTACCTGTAGTATATATGTGCTTTCGAAAGCTAAGTTGATAAGTTTTTCAGAATCCAGTTTTGAAAGATTTATTATTAATTCTGTAAGATAAGATTCCAATTTCCTGTGACTAGTGTAAATGTTTTCTTGATTGTTTTCCATTGGATCTAACTAGAAAAATTTGGATTTAAAGTGATAATGTAAGTTTTAAATTAGATCTATTGACTGACATTGGATTCAAAAAATAAAAGGAGTAAATCTGACAGTTTGCTCCGAGTAGAAGTAATTTTTTTTTCATTCTTATCTCAGTGGTCTTCAGATGTACATCCAAAATGTTTAGGGGATTGTAATGAAAACCAGATAGATTCAAAAGGATACTAGGAAATAAGTTATCACTAGACTAATCTTTCCAGAAAATAGATGGTCACTGTAGCAGCCTATTGTACACAAAGGTAGGAACATGAATTCGATAGGTTTGTCACAGCCTTTCAGTAGCTCCTAAAAACATGTATGATAGTATGAAATGATATAAAGCAAAGTTTTAACATTTATTATCACCAACAAAATTCGGATTTCTAATACAAACGTCAAGTCAGTTCTTCTATACGGATCAGAAACTTGGCGGGCGGGTAACAAAGAATATTTCCAACAGCCTGTTGCAGACCTTTATCAACCACTAACTGTCTTCGCTGGATCTATAATGAAGATCAGATGGCCGGGCCGGAAAGAATCACCAACAAGGAACTATGGGAACAAACAAAGCAAGAACCAATCGCCCACCAACAGCAAATATGCAGGACAAAGTGGAGATGGATCGAACACTCGCTGAGGAGACCGCTGGGTGGCATCGCGCGTCAAGCCATCGCTCGAGTGGAACCAGGCCGAAAGGGAAGCGACGAGTGGGACGTCAGCGTAATGGTGACATGGAGGAGATCGTGTGAAGAGGAGTTGAAAGAATACGGATGCAGGCGAAAAGTACAGCAGAAGACAGAAGCAAATGGAGACGTGCAGCTGAAGCCCTATGTTCTAGTAGGAATCCAAGGGAGCAATAATAATAATAATCTTAGTACAACACATATGCATTACAAAGATAACACTGTGAATGGGTATTCTGTATCACACAGACAGAAGTAGGAAATAACTTTATCGTTCTAGTCAAGTTTTGTATTATTCTGATGAGTAGAGAAAGCAGTTAAATTTATCACTACCAATAGGAAAAAGTTTTTCGTTAAAGGTTTAATGTTAATGATTCAGAAGGTCATTCAAAACACCTTTATTCTTTTACTGACTATTATTTGAAATGTGTTCCTTTTCATCATATTTCATCTTTGTGCTCACTCCACCGTGTACTAATACTATCTACATTATTATCCCGAGATAATTTATCTTTCTTGTTGATATGGTTTCTTTCTCCATCGACCGTATTGTCCTCTGATATTTTTAGTCATATGTGCCAGTCACTTTATTGGTTACACATGATCTGTCAATAGCTTTTGCAGATACATTGCATCATTCACCTCTTTGTGTGTTCTAATAAGTTGAACACCGCAAAGTATTATTGTTCTGCTTTAAGACGGTTTATGTTGATTTACTTCAACTCAGATTCCATGAGTTATTAGTTTCAGGGCATTACTTTTTTCCCGATTCTTTTTCTTCAGTAGTAACGAGGGTCATAAGTCTCGTTTAGTGTTAGCATTTTTAGATGGATGTATCTGAGTCGGGGCGTGTTGATCCTCATAATGCGACTCAAAAATGTTGGCTGTCAACACCAGAAAGCTATTCCGTAGTGTGTAACTGAGAATTATTTATTGTACAACTGGTATTATCGTTGATATTTATAACTTCTTGTGTCACTGTATTTCCTTCCTTGAAATTATATATATATATATATATATATATATATATATATATTAGTGCATAACTTTATTATGGGAAAATATATTATACCACGAAACTAACTAAAGAGATTGGTGATAGAAGAAATGATTTTATGTGGCTAGTTTCAGTTTAAACACTCAAGTCTTTTTTAAGCGTTTTTCTGATAGCCACTTGTGCTGTTTATGAAATTGCAATCTTGATTATGAGGTGGCTACGTAATGACATCTTCGTTAAGATGATTTCGATACTACATCTGATTTATGTGATCCTCCTGGTGCGTCTCCCATGCATGGTTCATATCATGAGACTGGACAATAGAAGCAGTCATCTGGCTAAGACAGTATATAAATAGTGTTGACATGATAGATTTGTGTTAATAGGTTAATCAATCCATTATATCAATAAGCTGTAGTTTGCAGACCATGTTCAATATTTTAGCAACTCTTGTGTATGAAGGCTACAACAACAAATAATGTACACATGGAAATATGTGCCCATCTCACTGACAAACTACCAATTCCCTCACTTTCATAGTAAGACATTTGCTGGGACTATGCTACACTATTTAAAAAAATCATACCTGAAAGTATGTCATGTTTAACAACACCCTTAAGCATAGAATTCCAGGCTTAAAATTAAGATTTCCGAACTGAAAACTTATCCTGAGCTAAAATTAGTTAGAGAATCATTAGAAAACCTAGAAGTACTGGACAGCTGTTTCATCCTAGTTTGGGACTATTCAGCAGTACGCAGCCACCGGGGTTCGAACCCAGGACCTTCTGGTTACAAGGCGAGCTCGTATACCATTAAGCCACTGGGACCCGATCCAATGGCCAGCCCATGAATTCTAACTTCTGCCAATTCACGACATTGCGCGACCCCTCGCCAACCAATCAAATCCCAACAAACCAACACTTGAATACCAATGAGATGCTCACTAGCGACTTGCCCGCATTCAGGTAGGTAGTTACCTGGGGTTCTAGTGGGAAGTCGTGACCAGTAGGGTGCAGCGGGTCGGGTGTGAGGACAAATACTCGCGGTCACGCTATGTCGTGAATTCGCAGAAGTTAGAATTCATGGGCTGGCCATTGGATCGGGTCCCAGTGGCTCAATGGTATGTGAGCTCCCCTTGTAACCAGAAGGTCCTGAGTTCGCGTCCCGGTGGGTGCGTACTGATGAAGAGTCCCAAACTAGGACGAAACAGCTGTCCAGTACTTCTGGGTTTTCCAATGGTTCTCTAACTAATGTCAGTTCATGATGAAATCCTGTAACCAATCAAATCCCTACAAACCACCACTTGAAAACTTATCTTTTTTTCAAATAGTTTATTATTTGATTTTATATTTCATTCCTTTGCATTCCCATTGGAACATAGGGCTTTAAGCCATAGCTTTAAAATTTCCGTGGGTAGCTGCTAGTCTCATCCCCTGCCTTCCCTCTGCACCAGTCTTATTACCGGCCTAGAGTGTCGTAGGAGTGCGTTGTCCGGGGTGAGATCAGCAAACACTATATCAAAACTAAATAAAAATGTGCATTTATTTTTGCATTAAAGTAAACTTACACTGGTTTCTGTCTCTGTGACCAACTGGTTGAAAGTGAAAATTTTTGTAAATAGCTTCAAAGGCCGCTTTTGTGGCATAACACATTTGAATCTGTTAACAGAATTAAAGGAAATAAGCGTATGAAATATACAAATAAATACAAAAAACAGTTAGGAATAGTAAGCACTGAAGATTTCGCTAGGTAAATCAAGACGCTATAAATATTAGACGACATACTTTTCTGATACTTCTTCAGTTTCAAAACTAAATTGTTACACTTGAAAGAATATGTGTACTACGAATAGGCTGACTGCCTGGTAAACTACTCACTAACTGCAGTCAACTTTGACATTTTACACGCCTAAGTAACTGTCTTAAAATATGGTATTAAAAGGAGTGATGCTTACAACCTCCAGAACGAAACTACAAATTATGATACACGATACACTGACGTAGGTTAACAAAACATGCTCTCAAATATTACGAGTATTTAAAAAATATTTACACAGACTTTGGAATTTCCGGAACGCATTATACATGGATTTGAATTCATAGCATAAAATTCAGACTAGTTTCCACTGTACATTGAAATTAACTAAAAAGCACTAAAAATAAGAAGCTGCTAAACAGCTGTTTGACTGTGTGATTTATCCTTTCAACAAATTAATATAAAATTACTGAAACTTCTGATTATTAACTTCTCATAGGTTTTTTTTCAGCTCTACGCATGTAAAACGCTCTCCAGCCACTAAACCATGAAGTCAGAACTTGCAGTGAGTACGCTAAATACAATTTAGCCAGTAGGATGAAGTTCAGTAGTTCATGTACTGCAAATTTTGTCATTTCGAAATGTGATCCAATCAAATATATTTTCTACCTATCTCCATTTGGTTTAGTCCATAAGGCACAATTTTACTTTAGAACTTCAGTATTTTGTGAAGTTTAATGATCTCGCACTCTGCCACAGTAAATTTATCCTCCTTAAAACCTCCTTTAGGCAGAATATAAACGATTTTACAGTAACCAAAAGTTAAGGTCTAGAATTACTGAGAAGACAATGAATTATTTAGGTGGACAGCTAAGGAAGTATGCCTGAAAGACAACTACATACTATCTATCTACCAGTGATAAAGTGAATTTACTTAATTAGGGCTATTTTTTCTTACTATTGATATTTTATTAGGTTTCCATTAGTATAAAACCGTATATTCATGAGTGGATAGCAGTAAAGACCATTATGGCGGTTTCTTCTTCTCTGAGAATCATATTATTATTATTGCTCCCTTGGGTTCCTACTGGAACATAGGGCTTCAGCTGCACGTCTCCATTTGCTTCTGTCTTCTGCCGTACTTTTCGCCTGCATCCATATTCTTTCAACTCCTCTTCACACGATCTCCTCCATGTCACCATTACGCTGACGTCCCACTCGTCGCTTCCCTTTCGGGTTCCACTCGAGCGACGGCTTGACGCGCGATGTCACCCAGCGGTCTCCTCAGCGAGTGTCCGACCCATCTCCACTTTCTCCTACATATTTGCTGTTGGTGGGCGATTGGTTCTTGCTTTGTTTGTTCCCATAGTTCCTTGTTGGTGATTCTTTCCGGCCCGGCCATCTGATCTTCATTATAGATCCAGCGAAGACAGTTAGTGGTTGATGAAAGTCTGCAACAGGCTGTTGGAAATATTCTTTGTTACCCGCCCGTCAAGTTTCTGATCCGTATAGAAGAACTGACTTGACGTTTGTATTGAAAATCTGACTGAATTTAGTTGTTGATGCTGAGTGACGAAGATTTCCAGATTGGTTTTTTCAGGTTGATGAATGTGTTTCTCGCCTTCCTGATTCTCGATTTGACATTCTAGTCCGTTCCGACTGCCTGTAGTTGAGACATTGCTCCCTAGATAAGTGAATGAATTAACCTCTTTCAAGTCCCTCCCGTTGATAATGATTGGCGCTGGATGTTGCTGCCGTTGTTGTTGGTGGTGGTTGGTTGGTTATTTTCATAACCTCCGTCTTCTCTATGTTCACTTGGAGTCCTGTCTTTGCCGGCTGCTTCTTCGACCAGTTTTCCGGTTTTCGCTTGTAAGTCTTCGATTTTGTGTGAGAAGAGAAGAATCATAAGTTGAAGATAAATAAATACTGAATTTCTTTTCATTACAAACAATATCAATTTAATTACATAGAGAAACAAAATAATACCAGACACAATGTGAAGCATTGGAAATTCCTTTAATTACACAATCCACAGTTTATTATGCTGTGAAACAGTAATACTGTGTCGGCTGAGTTTAAACAACACTGACACACACAAAATTGCCTTCAGTTTAGTTGTAAACGATTTTGATAGCCTGTATAGCTTGATCTGATGGAAACAAAAGTTTAAATAATGTATATATATATATATATATATATATATATATATATATATATATATATATATATATATCAAGTATTTCGTTTAAGCCAAATAGTAACTCACACAATGTTCGTGGATAGATACTGGGCAGACATTAAGCGGTTATTTTCCGGTAAATCGATCTGAAATTAATCAGTTGATCATTACTGAGATGGGAACAGTTTGGTAGAAATAAGTACTATGTATATGAAGCAAATGTTAACATAAATAATACGTGAGTCCATAGTTGGATCACTTAACTAATATTCTTTTGCCGACCGATTAATCTGATGAGAATGCTTCCAAAGTTGTTCCAGAATTGACACAGTATTCAATAAATTAATTAAAGATTATGAGAAGTCCCAACAGTATCACAGTACTTTTGACTGGACACTAGTTAGCAATTAGTTTTATATGTGTAGTCCTCTGTTTGGTCCAGAGGAATGTGGCCACCACGCTAGGTGACTTGCCATCACGGTGTACTTTGAATTGTTGATATCATATGGTTGTAGGCAATCGGTAGGAGGCCTTGGACCTAGGTTTTGTGCTAGTCGGCACTCGTCAGCAAGGCGTATCTGCAACCTTGAAGGAAAACTAGTTCCTTACTAGTGTCCAATTAAAAGTATCCACTACAGTCCTACAGGAGGTCAATCGCGAGCACAAATAGCTCAGTGGTAACGTCTCTGACTGCAGCACTGGGTGACTCGGGTCCGAATCTCAGAAGGGGCATGAGTTCCTTCAAGGTTGCAGATACACATTGCTGATGAGTGCCAACTAACACGAAACCTAGGTCCATGGCTTCCTGCCGGTTGCCTCCAACCATCTAATAGTATCACAGTACATCAGAAAGGTCATATTATCCTGTATGTTTAAGCAGAATTAACCAACAGTTTCTCCCTGCTTATATTTACAATGTATTCATAATTAAGACAGTTAAAATATATTGCACTTCCTATTTGAATGCGACAATGTATTGCATACAGTACACTGCACTTCACCCTTACAACCAATACACCTAACTATGACAGGCTACACTTTATTGCTGGCTGTTGCAAGCTTCTCAATCGCATAGCTTAAACTAATAATAAAGTCAAACGTATTATAAGCAGAATATACGCGTCAAAAGAAATTAACAGAGTGATTATTGCTTATTATATAAATTTTACATGGAGGATTTCACCATGAGCTGACATCAGTTATAGAACCATTGGAAAACCTGGGAGTACTGGACGACTGTTTCGTCCTAGATTGGGACTCGTCAGAAGTACGCATCCACTGGGGTTCGAACCTAGGACCTTCTGGTTACAAGGCGAGCTCATAGACCATTGGGCCACTCGGACCCGATCCAATGGTCCTTGAATTCTAACTTCTGCGAATTCACGACACAGCGCGACCACTTCACGATGTCTTCTTCGATGAGTTACTGCCTCATCTTCAATCTGCTGTACCCTACTGGTCACGACTTCCCACTAGACGCCCAGGTTAACTGCCTGAATAGGGCCAGTCACTAGTGAGCATCAGATTAATTTTCAAGTATTGGTTTTGTAGGGATTTTGTTTGATTGCATGGAGGATTTCACCATGAGTTGACATCAGTTAGATAACCACTGGAAAAGCTGGGACCATTGGACCATTGGATCGGGTCCCAGTGGCTCAGTGGTATATGAGCTCGCCTTGTAACCAGAAGGTCCTGGGTTCGAACCCCGGTGGTGCGTACTGCTGAATAGTCCCAAAACTAGGACGAAACAGTTGTCTAGTACTCCCAGGTTTTCCAGTGGTTCTCTAACTAATGTCAGCTCATGGTGAAATCCTCCATGCAATCAAACAAAATCCCTACAAAACCAATACTTGAAAATTAATCTGATGCTCACTAGTGACTGGCCCTATTCAGGCAGTTAACCTGGGCGTCTAGTGGGAAGTCGTGACCAGTAGGGTACAGCAGATTGAAGATGAGGCAGTAACTCATCGAAGAAGACATCGTGAAGTGGTCGCGCTGTGTCGTGAATTCGCAGAAGTTAGAATTCAAGGACCATTGGATCGGGTCCGAGTGGCCCAATGGTCTATGAGCTCGCCTTGTAACCAGAAGGTCCTAGGTTCGAACCCCAGTGGATGCGTACTTCTGACGAGTCCCAATCTAGGACGAAACAGTCGTCCAGTACTCCCAGGTTTTCCAGTGGTTCTCTAACTAATGTCAGCTCATGGTGAAATCCTCCATGCAATCAAACAAAATCCCTACAAAACCAATACTTGAAAATTAATCTGATGCTCACTAGTGACTGGCCCTATTCAGGCAGTTAACCTGGGCGTCTAGTGGGAAGTCGTGACCAGTAGGGTACAGCAGATTGAAGATGAGGCAGTAACTCATCGAAGAAGACATCGTGAAGTGGTCGCGCTGTGTCGTGAATTCGCAGAAGTTAGAATTCAAGGACCATTGGATCGGGTCCGAGTGGCCCAATGGTCTATGAGCTCGCCTTGTAACCAGAAGGTCCTGGGTTCGAACCCCGGTGGTGCGTACTGCTGAATAGTCCCAAAACTAGGACGAAACAGTTGTCTAGTACTCCCAGGTTTTCCAGTGGTTCTCTAACTAATGTCAGCTCATGGTGAAATCCTCCATGCAATCAAACAAAATCCCTACAAAACCAATACTTGAAAATATAAATTTTAGTCAATAAAAACCTCTGTCATATCCTACTTTTTTTCAAATAAAGTGATAAACCTTTCCGATTAGTAGTGAGTGGGCTTTCTTGTTGAAATGTTTGAAAAATGTTTTAAGATGGCAAAGAATCTCAAATATTTTACCAGCATGTATGAACACCCCTAAGACTTTCTCGTATAAAATTTCACCTATAATGGCATTATTTTCATTTCAGTAAAGAGTACACCACTGAAGATTCACCTTATTAATAAACAAACAATATATATATATATATATATAGTACTATCAAGATGTGTCCAGATGATGATGGGAATGAGTGACCTACCTTTAGATTCATAACAAAACACTTGTTTGGATGATTTTTCAATTGTATAGGCCAGTGTATAGAAATATGTTTTGGCAAAATATCACTAATTGTTCTCGTGTTAAATTCAGATTCATTTGATAAATACATTTCACGGTGGATTATACTGATTGGTGAAGATGAGTTTAGAATAAGTAGAGGTTGCTGGATAAATTGTAAAAAGATTTAAGTAACAAATCATCAACAAAAGCATAACAATTTTAAAAATACACAACACTACATTAGCGTATCTACTTTTACGACTTAAATATGGGCATAATAGAAAAATGGTGTTGGGAAATTGTGAATAATCGTATTGTTTAAATGAATTATTCTACTTTTGCTCAAAAGTGTTCGAAACATATGCAATAAATAAAAGTCTGTCCGTTTGACGAGTTTGTAGACACATCAAAATACTTCTCGTATACCACAAAGATAGCACAACTAAAGGTCATTTTAAGATACAAACGAATATAACAGTCATCCTTTGGCAGGGACATATGAAAATTGACAGTTTCTTCGTGCTTTAATCAAGCAGAAAGAGGTTTTCCTGATCCGATTTTTACAGGTAAATATATATCAGTGATAATTAATGACTGATAATGTACTTGTTGTGCCAACTATCTCAAAAATAAATTGTCTGGCAAACTGAATTTAATTTTACGAGGTAGTGATTTAAATTAAGATAAAAGATTATAATTTAATTTAAGATTATATTTTACTAGTCGCACAGTGATCAGTATTTTGTTATGAAAGCTTAATTATAGGACGCAGTTACTAAGTCAGTTGAGTGAACAGTCCGCAACTCTGAGTCAAATAATTTGAATCTTATCGTTCCAATCGAAATCTCATCAGGATAACAGACTTACTAAATATGCAAGGTGGGATAAGTAGTTAAAATGAGAAAGTACTTATCATTCATTAGATGACCTAGAAAAACTCAACCATACCTTATTTAGTACTCACTTAGTGTGAGTAAATAAATTTTAGAACACAAATTGATCATTAACTTTCTGGCAGCAAATAAACGGCTGTTTTATTCTCGTTATCATTCGTACATTAATGTTAACAGAATTATTTAAGAAATTATATCCGGTGGGGGAATTGAATCACAGGTGTGAATGCATAAAATAATAATAGTATGAAATGCAATTAAAATGTTTGTGTTAAATTATCGTATTCCCTAAGCATATTTTGGCTTCATCTAATTTTCGTTTTGTTTAATCAATTTGTTCACTTTTCGTTTATTACGTCAATTGTTACTATTAATATTCTCTCTCTGAACTGTCCCCGGTATTATTTTACTCCTTGCGCTTGTCATTCTAAATCAATTTTGTTTCGGAACGTTAAATTCTATGTTATCGAATTTCATACTATGTTACGTAATGTTTTTATTTTTATTCGATTTGTCTAATAATCCTATAATTGCGCTTCCCTGGCAAGTTCTATGCAACCTGTGAATTATTCCATACATGGCATTAATTGTTTTGCCACTTGACAGTTCACCTGCTCTTGTGGAGCTAGGTATATCGGTCGTTCGACTCGAGTTTTGTCCAAGAGGGTGCAAAAACATTATCCTGCATGGCTACAAAAAGGTGGAAGTGGAGCAATAAGAAGCGCGATCATAGAACATCTGGTCGATAATGATCACCCTATCTCTATAGCCTCCGCCTTTAAAGTCATCTACAAGGCAAAGAGCAATCTACCCAAATCCCTACGTACCCGACTCATCTGTATTGCTGAAGCTTTGGCTATCGAAACAGAGAAGCCAGATCTCTGTGTACAGAAAAAGTTCGTTCAACCCCTCCAACTTTCATGGTCTTAATCCCTCTATGCTAAAATATGATAATCCCCAATCATATTTTAGCTCTACCAATTTTTCATTTTGTCTATTCAATTTGTATACTCTTCCTTATTAAGTCAATTGTTATTATTACTATTCTCACTTTGAACTGTCTCCGGTATTATTTCACTTGTTATTCTAAATCAATTCTTTTTTACAATGATAAATTCTATGCTATTAAATTTCACACAATATTACGTAACGTTTTTGTTTTATTCGATTTGTCTACTAATCCTATAATTGCACACCCTTTTTTAAGTTCTATCCATCCTATGAATTATTCTATATTTGACATTAATTTGCTTCGCCACTTGACATTTAACTACGATTATAATCACAAACATTTTAGTTCTAATTGAACTTCATATTATTATTATTATTTTATGCATTCACACCTAAGATTCAATTCCCTCACCGGATGTAACTTTTTAAAAACCATATATATATATACGACTGTACAGCTTGATGGTAAATTCGTTGAAAAGAGTCTCCTCGCTGAATCACTTGTTTTGATTTTCTATTTAACTATGAGTATAATCACAAACATTTTAATTGCATCCCATACCATTATTATTTAATGTATTCACACCTTTATTTCAATTTCTCCACCGGATATAATTTGTTAAAAACCATATATATATATATATAACGATACCCTAACTGATATTGGTTTGCGATGAAATCTGCACTGAAATGAATCTACTTCCTACAAAACTCATAATCCAAATATTATTATTATTATTAACACTATTTATTTCCTTAAATTATTTCTCTCGAAAGTATTCCCAAAAGTGTAAATTTGATGTAACATCTTATACTGTAATGAAAAATCATCTTGAATAAAGTAATTCTGATATAAAACTTTTCAACAACTCAGTGTAACCGCTAATATGTTAATCAATAAAACGAATGTTTATTTAATATAAGAACTATGATGAGTCGGTGTGTTTAGACTGTTAATTCTAAGGTATTCTGCCATGTAACATAAATGAAGTATAGCATATGGAAGGTGGAAAGAATTCACTGCATATCTCGAAATGTACAATATTGAATTAAAGCTTATCTGATAACACTAGCTTGTGATACCGAATTATTGACATAATAACTGAGAAGAAAATGTATTTCATTATGTGTAAAATGACATTTCACAGTGTAAAGCACTGGGGTTAACATATAACCTCCAAGAGTATACCAGGAATTACTTGGCTGATTCACTAAATGACACGAAATCAAAGACTAGTGATACATATAACATGGAGAAATGGCCAACAACGGCGCTGATAATCCCACTGCTTCAATTGTAGTGTGTATATTAAGTTAGAACAGATTAGCTTTCTAAACTTAATAGGAACCTTTTTAAGTACGTGGTAAAATATGGTACTATTTTACAAAAATACCAATAAGTTACCAGTAGTGATAATGACTTTTCAACATAATATTGGGCATGATCATAAGGAAGCTTACTTCATCCATATAATGGTCTTGAGGAGAATTAGATACGTATAGATCGTAGTAAATAAGTTGTATTTCATCTGTTTGAATGATAGCAGATTTGTTAAAGTTTGCAAGCTTTTCCCAATTATTACATCCATGTGCGACACCTGTAATTTTTATAGACAAATTAAATCGAGTAGATTAAATCTAGAGCATTTAGACTTCAAAACCGAAATGGCTTTAATTTATGCACAGATATTTCAACACAGCTTGTTGTGTCATGAAAATGTGATGACTACTTTCAACATAATTTAACTCACCATAAAGTATGGAACTTGGAACTACATGAGTAGCATCTAGTTAAAGGTTTGTACTGAATTGTTCTATTACTTGTTTATAAACGCCTAAAAATATTCTGTTACTAAAATAGTAACTATATTGGCCATGTTTTTGATAATGTTAATAGCAAAAGGTATCAGGCAGACAATTTCACGGAAAAAACACTCCATGAAAATTATACTACTTATAAGTAGTTCAATTGTTTCACGTCAAAATGTCTTCAGTCAAGAGTAACTTTTTTAAAATTATTCAAGGAAGGAATGTCTTTCAACTCTAGAACAATAATTTGGCAAAATTTTCACTGGTTTTTGATTCCATAACCACTGATATTCCAATGCTGCAGAGTATATTATATCATCCGTACCACACGAACTGTTTAACCTTTCCAAAAACAAAGTTTTACAAGGATGATTCTGGCATAAAAAAACTAGATCTCAGAAGGATCCTGCCTTACATATTTTCGACTGTTTAGACTGAGAGAGTCGAGGAAATGTGAGTACGTCTTGGAAAAATTCTCGTTATTCACACCCCCTGGCATTACAGAAAGTAATCCAGAACACAAAAGTGATTGATAAAAGGTTTACAAAAAATGATAATAAGTTAGTAGACGACTTAGAACCCAAAGGAGATAACATGCTACCAAAATCTCTTTCTAACTATCTTAGTTAATTTTTTGATAAATATCTTTGTCTTATCCTGAAAAAGTTAATGGACTAAACTTTAGGATCATAAACAGTAGAAAATGAACGTATCGGTATCTTGTTTCTACTGAATCAGTGGAACAGTCCCTCATACAATATGTATTAAAATTTGCATCTCACTCCGAATCAAATGGCGATACGGAATTTCCAAAACATAGAGAATACCTCTACATGTTTTCCGATTATAGCTTGACTTCACACCGCAGTTTTGATACAAGTATGGAATTTTCAGCATGTGATATCAGTAGCCCAAATTTTGCAGGCCGATCATTGATATCGGGTGTGCGTTGGCAGGTGATCAAAACTCGGACCATGTGCATGGTTGGCGAGAGTCCTAAACGCTGTGCCACCGACGCACATGCTAAGTAACCACTTAGCCTTGCTTTTCCAAAGGACACCTAAATAACCAAATAACCTCCTTAAAGCTTACATGAGACCCTAGTTGTGAAACAAAGACTTTAACAATGAATACTCTTCAAACCCCTTACAAATTTATGATACATAGTGTAAAACCACACTGTTCTCCTGAATTACCTGCTTGTCTGTTTTAAGTACCATCTCCTTTTATTAGTGTCAAGTCTTCTACCCAAAGAATAAACTATAACATCTCATGATATATTCTATTTTTTATTATTGTGAGGCTACTTCAACATTCAGAAGTTTTGAGTCTGTCAACAATATTTATTGTTACATGAATTGAACTATATAGCCAAGAAGTGTTTAAAAAAATCTGATACAACCATACAGTATAATACAGCATAAATAATCCATTCAATTAATTACTGATGCCACTTATTACAATGAATTTCCATCCATGAAAATTACCTTGTGATAAACATTTATCGACGCTGAATTCATGATTTTGTAGTTTACTCTGTGAATTTTCATCATTGGAATTATTCTGACCATTATTCTCTTGCACATCTAAAGATGGTGAAAATCCGCACAAATCTGAATCATATATATCATCTAACGAGCACTCAGTAGATTCTTTCGACCTTCGACGAGCCAACACTTGTATATGACTGGATACTTGTTTTCTAGTTCTAGTTTTACCAGTTCTCAGTTTAATATAACGTGCAATCAGTTCATTACGTCCTAAATTTAAGAAAAGAAGAACAATTGGAGGTTATAAAGGAGAAATATAGCTGTCCAGTACTCCCAGGTTTTCCAGTGGTTCTCTAACTGATGTCAGCTCATGATTAAATCCTCCATACAAAATACAGCTTAAGCATATATAATAGCCACTGGATATACAAATAGGCAATAACCTCGTGTAATGTTGTCCAACCAGAAATAAAAGAAACTATTAATTATATAAATTAGTTAGTGAAGCTTTGTTATTTGTCTTACTACCTATTCACATAACATAATAGCAAGGATGAAATAATCAACAGATTTATAAAATTCACTAGCCTTTGTTCTCTTTCCTAAAAATCAATACTTCGTCTGTTTGTCCACTATCTCATTGTAGACTCAAACCCATTAAATTGAATAAGAAACTCAATCTTTTCATTCAGCACATACACACACACACATACACATACGAATTTAACGACAGTTCGATCAGGTGGTTAAAATAAAATCATATGTTGTAACCTAAAATAAACAGTCCGTGGACAAAGAGTCCTTAAGTAACCTATGCAACACAAAATGGAGGTTATAAAGGATACAGTTTGAATGTATGACAGATTCAGACTTTGTAATTAAATGTTTACACGTCTGTTGAGTTTTAGTGAGTCGTCTGTTATAATAAAGAAACATGGGAATAGAGGTGGATTTTGTTGTCTGTCATCATTTTTATGTGAATAACTTGTTTGAATTAGAAAAAGAAGTTTTAAAATGTCAGGAAACATAAATGACTAACTAACAGATAGTTGCAAGAAATAAAATCCAGAAATTTATTGAGGCTTGAAATTTTGCCACTGATTATTAGATACGCTTTTATTCTACCCTTTCCTTATTCAACTATCACTTAAAAATGAAATCTATGGTGCACACTCCATTCTTCGTAAAACCAAACAATCGAATGTGGAGCAAGCAAGCGTGTGGAGTGATTGGTAGTGAGTTCGAGTTGTATTACGAACACATAAATAGGTACAGTTACCTGCAGTTAATGAATCAGAAATGTGACAAAACATGTTTTCCAGTTACTATCACTAGCTATTGAAGATTTAATGACACTTAAGACTAGATCAGTTATTAAGGTTTATAAAGGACTGAATTATTTTCAAAAGTCTCGAAATTTTACTATCGGATTTCTTTGTACATTAGGAAATATCTTGAACTGAGATATCGGTGACATAGCGGTTAGGACGCTCGCCGACCATGCACATGGTCCGGGGTTCGATCCTCGGTCGACGCACTCCTTTACCTTGCTAAGCCCGAAATAATTCTGGTAAAGAGGAAAGGTTGGGCATGAGGCTAGCAACCCCATCCTGTAAAATAATCATTGCTACAGAAACTTCAAGCCACTAGCTCGAAGCCCTATGTTCCACTGGGAACGTGAAGGAAAAAAATGAAGTATTTGAGAAGTATGTAATTAGAGATATGATTTCATAGCTCTTTTGTATGAGAAAATATAATATTCCCATTACAATGTGAACAGCAATACAATTTCAAGCGAGAATACCTTACAGTATATGATACAGTAGGTGGAAACTAATCACGTAAATAATATGAACTGTAAATATCTTATGGATATGAATAGAGATTGCTTTATGGTAACTATGATATATTTCAGACAAACCGTGTTTATGATCTGTAAAAATGTCTTTACATCATTCTCAGATATATTCATAAGCATACGATTCAAAAGAATAAGCAAAATTAGAAAAATCCCGAGTTTTAAAGACACAAATCGAGTCGTTCCAATACTAAAAAAGACACACAAAATTGTAACAATCCTGTTTTAAATACTGGAAATAGAAACAGAGAAATTTACAAGGCTCACTCTAATTTTCGAATTATTGTCAGAATAATACAGAGACTGGTGAAGTTCAACAATAGCGTTCCAGGAGTGTGAACGCTCCAGTAACCTTGAGCACATGCTAGTCGTTGGCTAACGGCACTTATCATTATCAGAACTGAAATATCAACACTGTTCACCAGCCTTGCATCAAATTTCACCCAGATCACGTTTGAGAGTACTGTTTCGACAATATGTTAATAATTCATTAGGGTTAGGAGTAGGGCTAAGGTAAGTATTTGGGGTTAAGGTTAGGATCAGGGTTAGAATTACGGTTTGGATAAAGGTCATGATCAGGGTTAGGATTAAGATTAATGTTACGATTAGGGATAGATTTAGAGTTGGTGTCGTTTATTTAAATTTGTTTTCTTATCCACATTTTCCTGGTAAGTAGTCGTCGATCCTCTTACTGGAAACCACAGTAATTCATCCAACGGCTTTGAGGAGGACTGCCCAACGGGATAAGACAGATGAACGATTCACAAAAACAGCTCATCTTCAGTCACCTCGGTGAATAGATGTAATGAAACTAGTCCAACTTAGCAACTGATACTCCTCATTACAACTGGGACGTATTTTTAAGTGATGTCATAGAAGGTTGAAGCGTTTGGTGTGTTTTCATGCGTTTTCTTGTAAATATGTGTCATTTTTTGTGCAAAAATTCTTCATTTTTATGACTGGTCAGCTGAAGGTCACTCGTGCGTTCGCATCCCTTGGGACGCTATTGTATGACTCTGCCCAGAGACCATTTCACAACCTTCAATGTATTTGAAAATAAAGATGATTGAATGTTAAAATTGACTCACTTCTTAGATTTATTTTACATCAGGTATTAGGGAAACTGTTAGTTTTTATTTCCCTTAAGTAAACTGTACATTATTACTACTATAGAGAATGTGTCATAATATCAGTCCCAAAACTATATACAATTCCAGATAATAGAAGTATTACGCAATAAATGACCAAAATGTTTATGTTTAAGCTGGCTTACAAATTTTACAGTGGTATAGGCAAGATAAAGGTCGACTGGAAGAAGAATCTGATTTTTACTTTGCTTTTCTTCTGCTTGAAAGTTTGATAACTTCAGCTTCTAAGAAAAATAGCTTGCATTTAAGGACTTCTACGGAGGATATATCAGCAGAAAATTTTGCAAAAAGCCCTTGTGGATACCATTTGATTGCACTCAGTGTTCCCTGAATGATCAACATTGATCATCCATTGAAATATTTTGTAAGTAAGGATATCTTTTCGGTGATTTCACCTTCAAAAGCTATACAGTCATATTTTTATACATAAGTCTATATATATTACAGTTATAATTTAATTTGACATAGTAACAAAAGGAGATTAAAGGAGAAAAAAGAGAGAAACATCTGGGGGACTTTAAAGACATCTCAGAGTTGGTGGACATCTAGGACACTAGGGCGAAGACCGTGGCGCCTAGGATGATACTGGGAGGTCTACAAAAAGCTGTTTACCACAGCATCGGGTGTGCAGCTGGAAAGGCGACCTGGTCTCGACGCGAAGAGACTGTGACTGAAGTAGTGATTCGACACATCGTTGCAGATCATGGTGTACCAAAGAGGATGTTGACAGATCAGGGTTTTTGTTTTGAAAGTGAATAATTCACATTTCATAGAATGACTAGTGGTGGAGCAGGCAATAAAGCAGTTTCGTATTACGAAGCTGGGACCAGATGGAGACCCAGTGGTGTCGGTGCTGAGGCTGATGGACCTACTTCTCTGCGCTACTTCCATGCTCAGTGAAGAATCCCAGGCGCAGTAATTGGTATTACAGTTTATGGAGCGGTGCAGAATCCATTTCCAAGCAACTATGACTAGTTAAAGAGGTGCAACCTATGCACACTGGTGAGCCTGCGAAAATAAAATCACACCAATTGAGAACACCGGTAGCCGAACAGATCCCCCCAAAAACGAAATAATAGGAACGAAAAACTGAAGATTTGAAGCAGCAGGTGGCGGCGCTGCGAAAGAGATCGATATTTTGTATGCAGTGAACCAGGATATCGGCGAATGTACTGTCCATAGAGATGAAAAAAGCATTTTGGGACATAATGTGTTCTTTCTTGGCGATCAAAGTAGCAGCACAGAAATAAAATTGATTCCATGTTACGAGTAAATGACTGAGAAATTGTATATACAATAGATATGAGGGTAGTTATCTCATCTCTAGACAATTAAGGTAAGAGAGCCAGATCATGTGCATCGATAGCATAAAAAGTTGGTAGACATAGTCTAAAAATCGCAGACGTATCAGACTGTATATCCAAGATCTTAAAGTAACCCTCCAATCTATTGTTGTGTCTCACTTATAACGAGCAATCTTAGAGTCTGATTTTCCACAAGAAGTAGGTCTAGTGATCAGTACACTGAAAAGGAATGTGATTACATAGCACAGCTCGACTATCTTATATAAAGATGGCGAGTTAGCAGGCGTCGAAGCATTAAAAGCACTGAATACAGCGATGTTAGTTAGAAAAAATGAGCAGCTATTCGCTGGAGATGGAGATCTCTACGACTACTGTAATAAGGTTAGGTAGTGACAGCTTGGAAAATAACAAGGTTTACAACACAAAGAGTTTCGTACCATTTAGAAGGAGAAGTTAAGTGACAAGTCTAAGAGATGCTAAATTATGTTATTTTTGCAGAAGCTGACAATTTATGTAACTGTAATGTTCTTAATGAGAAACACCAATGGGAAGTACAGATTTTGTAGTGACTTCTTAGAGATGAACAGTATGACTGAGTTGAGAACATGTGCCATGCTGGAACCGTAGGTCACCTACAAATAGCTGACCTGTTTACACTTCTGCACCTCTGACCGGGTTATTAGAAGATGCCAATAAAATAATGTGGCAGAGATACGGCAGCTGCCACCATGGGTCAGAAACAATTTCTGTTTAAACGTATGCCTTTCAAATTAGCAAATGCATCTTTCACATTTAGGTGACTAATGACACCGTCACTTAAAAACCTGAAGAACGCAGAAGTGCACTGTGACGACTCAGTCATACTTTTCAGAAGAAAAATGCCTATATGGAACATGCAGAAACCGTTTTAAGACTCACTGAAGAGTTAGGACTACTCATCAACCTCAGATAGCTAAGAAG